CCTCCCGAATAGCTGGGACTACAGGCCCCCACCACAACACCCGGCTATTTTTTTGTTGCAGTTTGGCTGGGACTGGGTTTGAACCTGCCAGCCTTGGCATATGGGGCCGGCACCACAGGGGCTGCCTTAGTTTTGTGTTTTTTTATCACATTTTGGAAGTTTATAAATTTATTTCTGATATTGAAATTCTGTATTTGTTGATTCATTGTACTTTAACCTGATTTCCTTTAGTTCTATGAACATATATTTATAATGTCTCTGAACATGCATGCTAATTCCAATATCTGAGAACAAAAACATTAAATTGATTTATTTTTTCCTGGATGTGTATCAGTGTGTTATACTCCTGTTTTTCAATGTTTTTGTTTGTTTGTTTTATTTTGTTTTTTGAGACAGAGTCTCACTTTATTGCTCTCAGTAGAGTGCCATGGCATCACACAGCTCACAGTAACCTCTAACTCCTAAGCTTAGGTGATTCTCTTGCCTCAGCCTCCCGAGTAGCTGGGACTACAGGCATCCGCCACAATGCCCGGCTATTTTTTTGTTGCAGTTTGGCCAGGGCCAGGTTTGAACCCACCACCGTTGGTATATGGGGCCGGTGCCCTACCCTCTGAGCCCCAGGTGCCACCCTACTCCTATTTTTTGTCTTTTAATGTTTAACTAAAGCCTGACTTAGCCCCTCTGGATTCTGACTTCTATCCTTGGGGCTTGTGGTAGTATCTTGTTTTTTGCCCATTTAGTATCTTCCCTGGGTTAAATCTTTGAATTCTGCTTCCCTCACAGTTTGTGTTACCTCTGCTATCTGCTGAGTTTGTTTAGTTTTTGGTTTTATTTTATTGTTTTAAGTTTTGGTCCTAGTTCTTAGGATTGGGGGGTCGTTTTTTCATAACTTAATGGTCATCCAGCAATTGGGCAGGTTGTGCTTTAGACAGCTTGAGCCCGTTAGCCTTCTGTCTCCTGCTAGTAGATCAGTGGGCGTAGGAGAGTACATTCCAAGCATAGATCATTGTCAAGTTCTCTCTTGTTTTCTGTGTTATTGTAGACCAGGGGTGGGGAACCTGCAGCCGTGGGACCACATGTGGCCTTCTAGATCATTGGGTATGGCCTTTTTACTGGATCCAAATTTAATAGAACAAATCTTTTTAATAAGGGCCCCATATCTGGGCCCTCTGGCATCTCCTCTGCAACCTCAGACAATAACATGAGGTTTGACAATTAAGTTTGCAGACTCACCCCTGAATAGTGCTACATGCCTCTTTGCTGAATATTGCTGTGGTTACCAGATAGCCAAGGGGAGTACTTCAGAGGTGACCAAAGTGATATTCAGCAATGAGAATGTAGAACTTTTTCTAGGACGAGTTCCTTACCACAGCTGAGATCCTCCCCCCCATAAACAGTGCTGCTGAGCGTGGGCATTACTCACTGCTACAGTGACTAAGTCCCCCCATCCTTTCTGCCTCATTTCCAGCCTTGTGGCCTGCTGACTCTGTCAGGACATTCATGTTTACTGAGCCAGGAGGCAAGAGAGATAAAAGTGTCCCCAAGTAAAAGCACTATATAAACTCCAGCTATTCTTACCCAAAGTTCAGTGTTTTTCAACATCTAATGCTTTTCAGACTGTAGTATGCCTTTAGTCAACTTGAGTTCTGAAATGATTACTTTTGCCAGTTACGTCCACCTTTATGAAAGCCTTTTGGGGAGAGAATTTGCCAACCACTTAGATTTAGCCAGAACTCCCACCCTATTTTAATCCCACGGTAAGTCTGTATCTGCTGATTTTTTGCCTACACTGTTGGTGATATTATCACCTGTTTATTCCTAGTGATCTATTTAAATCATTTTTCATGATCTAAGGGAAATCCTAATGGATTTGGGTTGGAGTTACTTAACACATTCATTACAGGTACTTTTTCTTTTTTATTTTTGAGACAGAGTCTCATTATGTCGCCTTCAGTAGAGTGCTATGGTGTCACAGCTCAAAGCAACCTCAAACTCTTGGTCTTAAGTGATTCTCTTGCCCCATCCTCCCAAGTAGCTGGAACTACAGGCGCCCACCACAACACCTGGCTATTTTTTATTTTTGTTGTTGTTGTAGTTGTCATTGTTTAGCAGGCCCGGGCCAGGTTCAAACCCATCAGCCCTGCTGCATGTGGCCAGTGCCCTAACCACTGAGCTGTGGGCGCTGAGCCATAGATACTTTTTTTTTTCTTCCCTGAGACAGTATCTCAAGCTGTTGCCCTGGCTAGAGTGCTATGGCATCATAGCTCACAGCAACCTCAAACTCTTGGGCTGAAGTGATTCTCTTGCCTCAGCCTCCCAAGTAGCTGGGACTACAGGCACTTGTCACAACGCC